AATTCACGGCCTCGTGCTCCTTTTCTCTGTCCTTAGAAAAACCACAACTATGTTTTTAGACACAATAACAACTATTTCACCCTCTGTTCCAAATTTGGCAACAAACGCGCATTCTAATTTAGAAAATATGCAACATCTTGTTCAGCTGGCAAGAATGCTTTCATGACATCCGTCAAACTCGGTAAACCTAAATATAGAATGGAGGACAAGGTTTTCATGACATTCCAACTAGCTCCGCTTGGTAGCAAAGAAAATGGAGGACAAAGTAAAGAACCAACATTTGGAATATTAAGACCAATTCTCTAGTCTGTTTGACTTTAAAAAAAATTAATTACAACCCAATATTTCCAAACAAAAAGACCAAAACGATGAATTTTCAAATTCCAATTGGCGAAATGTAAAGTATTTGATTGATATTGGTCAAATATGGATGACAAATTTGATCAAATACTGAACAGTAACCATTTCGGCCACTGGAATTTGAAAATTCATCGTTTCCGCCAATTTCCCCCAAAACAAAAAATGGGATAGTAAAATCAGAAACAAAGAAACAAAAACAACCCAAATCGCATTCATTTGTTTTCGAAAATCCAAATAATCAATATATATATATGACAATAATTATCTGAGTTTAGTTGAATCTTTCCCTCAAATCGTATAATATAATATGTTAACAAGTTCAATTTCAATTTCTTACCGGTTAGAAACAAAGTTTGATAATTTAAAGAAAAACCAGAGAAAAAGCAATTACTTGTGTTCTTGTGGAGTCCAAGGAGTTCCCTTCTTCCTCTCAGGCTCGCCATGCTTATTGACCTTGGACCCAAAAGTGATCTCACCGGCCGTGTCCCAGCACTCATCAGCATAACTCGGCAAATTGACCCGGCCGGAATCGATCTCCAAGACATCGTGCACCAAATCCTCGTAGTGCTCCAAAACCTCTTTAGGAGTCTTGCCCGGTAGCTCTTGGGCGATCCTATCCCACCGATCGGGCAAGTCGTCGGAGAACCTGACCAGCGCCTGCTCAAACAGCTTGTCTTCAACCCGAGTCCACGGAGCCGACGCCGCCGACTGAGCCACGTCCGACCAACACGGGGCCGTTTCTTGGAACATTCGCGGGCTTGGGGTTTTTTCGGGTTTTTGTTGTTTTTTGTTTGGTTTCTTGGACATTTCGCGTTGTTAGGTTTGGTGGGAGATTTGGAGAGTTTTTGTGGTTTTTATAGATTTGGAGATTTGGAGGTTTTTTTGTTTTAATTTTTTTTTTTTTAATTTAGGAATTTTTGGGTGCGGAGAGAGTCAAAATGCCAGCTCATACTTCAAAATCGACACGTTTTGTCACTTTTTGTTTCATGTCGTTTTCAGCTGCACAAGTCGAGTGCCAAATGTACGCGCCTATTTTCTACCTTTTTTACTTTTTCGAGTTTTTTTATGTTAACCTTTTTGTTTTTTTATTTTTGTAGTTTCTCGTATGGTTGGATATTTTCAATTGAGTCATTAAAAAAAAAAGTAAAAATTTAGCTAAAATTTTCTCTGAGATTTGCATAATTCATCACTTTGGTTCATGAAATTTAAAATCAGTAAAAGTGGTATATGAGTTTGTCTACTATCAATAATTTTGGTCCTTCAATAAAAATTTATATTAAATAAGGATCAATATAACAAAAATACTCTCAATTTAATAAACAATGGGCCAAATGATTTGACAAAAATTAAGGGTATTTTTGTCATTTTAGCCTTATTTAATTTCATGGGATGACCAAAATGATTAATGGTAGACAAATTCAAGAATTACTTCTATTGATTTCAAATCTCAATGACCAAAATGAGGAGTTATGCAAATCTCAATGACTATTTTAGCTAAAAAGCCTTAAAAAAATTAGAGTGACACGTGGTCATGATCCACTCACTTTGTTTTGCGCCCCCTTAGAACCTAGCGAGAACAAGGTTTGAGTTATAGAAAGACGAGTAGTAGCGTGGACTTCCTATAGTGGGTTCACTTTTGCTTTGTCACTAATGAGTGTAATCAATTGTATAAACTTACTTTTAATTATAGGGTATAACACGTACATTGTGTTTTACTGTTGTACACACTACTGTTATGCACTAATTGATGTGATATAAAAATTGAATTTACTTCAAGGATGTGACCCCAAGTGGAGAGTGTTGGAACCAAATTCGTGCACTTCCATGAGTGGTGGTTGAGCGCAAATCCAAGTAAATCCAAGCAACCTACAAAAGAGTGAAATAACCGTGAGGAAACCTAGGACCCGACGAGGAGGGGAGTGTGCCGGCAAAGGCTCTCCGATGGTCAAGTTAGTGAATGACTTTAGACTCAAGCAGTAGACAAGAGAATTCAAGTGTTTATACTGCGTGACAGTAGATGAACCCTAGGTAGGTGTATTTATACTGTGGGGAGACTTTTTTTATGATAGAATCATCATTTTAAGCTGGGAGAATCCTAAAGGATATCTAGAAGTAGATATTGCATCATCTTAAGAGTTGTGTTTATTTGTAGTGCACGTCAATCCCTAGGTTGTAAGAACTTCAAGACTTATAGAATATGATTTGTCCATATCCAAATCAGATTGTGTGTCTTGCAGAACAAGCATGGTCATCCAACGAAGTCTCAGGACTCCACCTAGTGCCCCGGAGTAGAGGTATTTCAATATGAATAAAGTAACGTAGAAGAAAAAAAATTCAATAAAAAAAGAAAGAAAAAAAGCAATAAATAAAATAGAAAATGATACAATCTGTACTTGCTACCAATTGTCCACAAGATCTATCACTAGTGTGGTAGCGACTGCTCTCATTACCAATCTCCCCCCCCCCCCCCAAACCCCTTCTTTCAATTTTTTATTTTTTTGTGTTTTTTTTTATAGATTTTGCTAATGTTTCTTTTATTTCTCTTACCATACAACAAACTATCTATTCATGTTCTTCAAAATATATTTTCCATGTAAATCTATTAGAATTCATATTTAAACACTTGTAACCAACGATTTAAACCTAATTTTAAAATATGTGAATTTAATAGTGGTTACTCAAATAAAGTAACATAGGAAGAAAAAACCCAAAGGAAAAAAACAAAAAAGCAGAAAATATAAAATAAAAAATTGGAGTAGGAAAACATCAGTACCATGCTACTGATCCTCACCCAGTCGTACTTAAATCACCGTTCAATTTATTTATTTTCACCTTCGCCTCACTATGAAGTTTTGAAAATTAAGGCAAGACTTTCTGTTGAGATTCTTTAAGGGTAGAACCCCATTTGACAATATTTTGGTTCTCACCACTCTATTTTCACTTATTTTTAGTTTTCGGCTTAAATATTCTACTAAATATACATTTGTTGCTCAATAAATTGTAAGTCGCAGAAATAAAAAATTTGCATTTTTGACAAAAAAACGTGAGTTATACACTCGGTTTTTAGTTGGTTTTGCAAATTCATACATTATCATCGTTCTCAGCTCATCTTGTTAATCCAACAACCGTCCCAATTCGCTTTTTGGATTTTTTTAACTTTTAATATCAAGTAAAAAAGTTAACAGAGTCATATCTAAGTTAAGTTAAAGGACATGTATCAAAATATTAGCAAAGAGACACATAAAACGGGACAACAGAGCTAGAGCCGGCATGCATAATCTTTCAAGCTCAAGTTTATCTCAGCTTAGCTCAAGCTCGTAAACATGTGTTTGGCTCGATTTATATTAAATTGAAACTTAGGGCTCGTGTGGTAGTGTGTTTAGAATAAATAAAAGTTTTTTAGGTTCTAAAAACACTTAAGATGCCTCCTACGGGAAGCATACCTCTCTTCTTCTAGGATTCACATACATTCTTATTAAGATTAGTTCCAAAAATATTTTCATTAAAATGTACAATCATTTTAATATTAAGCATCCAAATCAACTATTAATAAGTTTTTTTTTAAGATAAATCAATCTTTGATATTAACATTAAAAAGAGTGAAACCCAAATTAATCTTAAAATAAAATTTAATACTTTAAAATAACTACATAATCAACGCATCAAATTACAATTTACTCACAGGTTTTACGAGTAATCTCCGACCCTCTTGCAGTCTTGCGACTTTTGTTGAAATTCTTCAAGATCTCGTTACTATTTAAGTGTACTAGTCCACTTAATTTCACTGTCAATCATCAACAGACGTGGTTGTTTTAGAGGGAGCCTAGTAATCATTTTCAATCCGTTATTTAGCTAAAATGATCTATAAGATTTGCATAACTCCTTACTTTAGTCTCTGAAAGTTGAAATCAATAGAAGTGATCCTTGATTGTCCATCATCCATCATTTTGATCATTTTCTAAAAAATCTCCATTAAATAAAAATAAAATAACAAAAATACCCTTAATTTTGTCAAATCATTTTGGCCTATTGATTGTTAAATTGAGGGTATTTTATCATTTTGATCCTTATTTAACATAATTTTTCACGAAATGACCAAAATAATTAATGATGGACAATCTCAAGAATCATTTTGACAAAAATACCTTTTCAATCGCTACAAGAGAAATGGCCACTGCACATTCCCTACCGTAGTTAACCCTTTTAAGCACTGCCCTTTCAAGCCTTTGACACTCTCCTATTTAATTTATAGCCGTTGATTCAGTTTGATTCATTCAATTTAATAGTAAGCTATAAAAGTGTGTAAGACACCAAAAAGGATATAGGAAAATCACTTTTCAATGATGAATCCCTATGTGAGTTCTGCAAGAACAAAAAAAACCAAGTAGTCAGATTTGGAGTTTCAAACGATAGCCTCACCTACAAGTACCTGTCAATCATTCGGATTTTGATCCAGATCCAATCCGAATCCTATGTAATTAATAGGATATGGATCGAGACTTCCAATCCAATTATTCAAAACAAATCTGAATCCAATAATCCAAAATGGATCCAGATATGGGTCAAGGCTGATCCGATCAGTTTTTGAAATGCAAGGAAAGCGTAAAGGGTTAGTCAAAGAGCATGAAAAGTGCAGAGGCTTCACAGGAGAAAAACACCACCATCTTCATGCCATGAGTCCCAAAATATACACAAGAAATGTAGCAGCAGAAAAACACGTTAAAATCGTCAGGACTCAAATCTAGACTTCTTTACAGAGCATAAACTTAAAGCACTACACCAAGGTAAATGTAAAATGTTTGGATAAAATTTCACCATAAGGAACAAGAGCTAAGAATTCCGATATTCCTAAATTACAAACCTTAAGTAGGTCCATGGTAACGTTTACTTCATGTCGACACATTACTACCATGCCAGCTTCAAACCATCATTGTCTTAAGATATCTGAAACTTTTATGGACAGGCTACTCGAGACAGGACCACACACTACTTGAGGCAGCGTAAACCCGTCTTTGGAACTTCCAATTTACTCATTGCTTTATGAGGTATCTGCAAGCAAAAACAAAATAATGAATAAATTTATACCACAGGATCTGATCTAAAAACTGGATTTAACAATTTTAACTGGATGAGCACCAATGTGACTGGGTTCACTTGGAACCAATCAACCATCGAGTCTGGTTTACCCATAGGCTATGTTTGGGTAAGGAATTTCCAAGTCCCAAGGGAATGAACCCAAGTTATTAAGAAATGGACCACAAATTGTTTGATGCCGGTGATTAGGAATACATTTCGACTAAACAGGTCAATCGGAAACAGTTCTTCTGGACTTTACGCCATTTACCGCAATCCATATTTTTGGTATTCTGACCTCTTTATTTCATGTTTTCAACTAATAAAAAGGACTCGTCCAATCAAGTAACTTCTTTGATAATAAAACATGCCAAGATCGTCTTGTAACTCAAGCGTACGCTTTGCAGTTGAGTTCTGTGCTCAAAAACCCTGTCATTATATAACACACTACTATAAAATGTGCATAACAATGTGCAGAGCCTACGTTTGTGCCAAATCTTGATTGGTAATTTATGCTTCATTTAAAATTAAAAAGACAAAATACACCTCAATAATCATTTAACTTTCATTTGTATATGATATCATTCAACATCACGTATTTTCATAATCATACTTTATAATATAATTTAATACAAGAGAAAACACTTGCAAACCCTTGTAAAACTGTATATAAAGACTTGTTTCCAACTTACAATTTTAAATAAAGAATATAATAGCTAAATAGCAAACTACAAGTTAAATTACTCGATTGATTACATCAGATTATCAAGAAATAGTTGAGAGGATTAATGAAAGACTTTCATTCAAACAATCCATTCAATACGAGCAAGGAAGGAGTTATCATAAAGAGACCTTCAAACTCAAATGAAATCAAGTTTAACCCCATAGCGTTATCGTTCTTCATTAAATGAATTTCATCCTTTTAACGTACTATATAAAACCATGTTGAGGTTGATGAAGATCAATGTGACACCAATTAATCTAACAAAATTAGCATTGTACCTTACACTGAAGTTCTGTTATCGTAGACCTCAACAAAGTATCTCCAACAACCAACCTCAACTTTTTCACAAATTCATCACGAGTTATCTTTCTTTCCTGAAAATATATTATCATAATCAGACACACAAAGTGTCCACATATTTCGACGCAAAAAAGTTCAAACAAAAGGGAAAATGGGAAAATAACAATATTAATCATACCCTGAACAAGTCATAATGAACATTAACTTGTTTCATATCTTCAGGAGGAACTTTATTTTCAATAGCAGAAAACAACATGGGGAAAGGCATCCAGGGTGATTTAGGGGTTCTTTGAGGAGCAGAACCAGTAGTAGTGGTTTCCCCCTGAAATCTTCCAGTCTTCGAAATCATTTGACTATTGTTTCCATGAGATTTCCCAGAATCAGAAAGTGGCTGAGTCTCGCTCCCCTATTAGTTTTTAAAAAAAAATGCTAATTGCTGAGTACCATGGTCTACTAGTACTCCACAGTCAATAAAGGAAAGTAAAAAAATATAGCAAGAAAACTTCTGTTGCAATACAAACTATTCTCAAGTAAAAATGTGATACTAAGACCCAAAAAAGTAGTTCATTCTAGCATGAATGCAACTCATAACAAACAAGTCATACAATGCACTTGCAGTGAACAGATAATTATTCGTAAGTCCAGAAGCACCCGATGATCTTTCGTAGGTGTTCAATACAAAAGCCAATATAAGACTTCAAATATTCCATAGCACCTCTCCTATCTAACTAATGCAAGTTCCACATGCGTTCGATTAAAGAGAATGAATGTCTAGTGACCCATAATGCTCAAACCATCATTATTGCTTTCAGGGCCAGCATGTGCACATTATCTAATCAATGAATTCTAATACTGAAGTTAATTTCCATAACCATATTGCACAGTCAACATACGATACATGGCTATATTAAAGAGAAACTGTCTTCGAAACAAGTAAAATAATGCAAGCTATACTACTATTCACTGAAGTGGAATTTTACTTTCAGTGCAAGACCTAGAAAGCCTACAAACTTCTTGGGGACTTCAGTTCAATAAATCAAACAGCTTGAAAATAAGATCTAAGCCTCAATATAGATGTGAAATTATATGTCAAACGAAGCTCATTAAAATAAAACTTTCAGGAGGCAGCCACTTGGATTGGATGAACATGTATGTAACTCATTTCAAGCATGCTACTACGAGGAATAGATGCAATAAAGCACACAAGTAATCAGGTCAAATTACAAGCATCCATATTAAAGCCAAGAAGAATCATAAAAAAAAAAATATATGAACGGCACGCACTGTATCAACTGCAGACGAGCCCTGTGGTCCTTGGCAGGATGTCCCAACCCCAGAAGCACCAACTTTAGTCGCAGTTCCAATTAGATGTCCTGTAAAAACGTCATGTGCCAGTTTTCAAGTAATAAAAGAAGCTTCAAATAATGAAATCATATTATTGATACAGCGTTTTCTGAGGATACTGCCAGCTATCTCACTGAATCAGAAGTTGGAGAGGTGATTCCTCATTCATCTCTTGGATTTAGTGAAACATCCCAACCATTGATGTCTATGACCAATGGATGAAGCCTGTTTGCTTAAACTAACTTCTAAACATTTTCCATCCAAGTTGTGACAGAAATTGAACTGTGTATTTCAGAGCCATAAAACTATTAAAATATAAAAAGTATGGACACGTAGGCTCTTATTACAGGTTAACAAAAAGAAAAAAACTGAAACAAACAGAAAGATTTAAGGATTAGAGTATCACCTTCAGTATTGGATGTGATCTTGAAACTAACAACAAATTCTGGACATATGTGTGTATTCATGTTCATATTCCAGACAATATAATGTTTTGGATCCTGAAGACCATCCACCCCACTATCAAAGTCTTTGCTACTGGGATGGAATTGCCTACTTCCAGGGTAAAGTAACTCCATATTTCCCATTATGACACGACATAATATCATGTGTCGTGCCCCATTTTCGTCAACATCACAAGAACTTGCACTGTGAACAAATGAAAAGTTCAATCCACCTCGAATAAGCATACTAAAAAAAATAACCATACATCAAACAACTGTAAGAGATAAGTCAAATTATCAGAAAAGTTACCCTTAATAACCAATACCAATAACTTCTCATGTCAAAGGAAGCCAGCAGTAACATATAACCATAATAATAAAATAGAAGCAATCAACAATGACCTTAGTACATTTATAACAATGAAGGTAGTGAACACAAACGAATGATGAATGCCTGCTATAGCATTGTCACTCAAAATAGCCACTTTACAGGGTAATGGCTAATAAACAACTGCAGGTCACTGAGGGACATGCCATATGGAGTAACTAGGCCTACCAAGACACTAGATGCAGGACAAAAACATTAATAGTGGCAGACAGACAATACACCTCCATACTTCACAGTAATCATGTCTAGCCCTTAATCCTTTCCCCATGCAAGAAACCATTTTTCTATGGCTGAAGTAGTAACCCCAACCCAGGAAGACTAACTATTTTCAAGCATCTCATCATTCATATCAACAGTATGAACATAATTCACACACAGAAAAATAGTAAACAAACACTAACCAGGTGTTAGAGAAGCTAGCTTCTGTGAGATGAACACCAGTTCCATATATGGACTTGTTCGTGGCTAGCCCAGAATGACCAAGCCCATACATCATTATAGTTGGCAGCTCTCCTTTAGAAGAAGCAAGCCAAGCGTATCGTATATTTGCATCACCACGAAACGTTTTCATAATTTCTACCTGCTTCTGAAAAAGTTCCAATCGTGCTTGCATCAGAGTACTTGAGCATTTGTATATATCAAGTACTTCTACACTATCAAAGTTGCTCATTCCTTTAAGGAATATCTTACGCACAGTATCACAATCCAACTTTTCCTTTTCAATCTCAGTTGCTCTAGCTAAATTCTTTGTCATTGCTTCATTATCTACAGAATACTCATCAACGTTTAGACCAGGTTTCCTGTTGCAACTATTCTCAACTTCTATACCATCACGATTGCTGGCAGGTATTTGATCAACCTGAATTTTCTTTACAAAGCCATTCGACTCCCCACTACATTCATTCAACCCAGATTGACCCATACCATTTATTTCAATTTCCAGGTGCAGTCTTATCTCACGTGATTCACACTGATCTTCAGCCCAGGGTTCCAAACCTTTGCCACCGTCAGGTGGGCAGTACCAATTTGGTTCAATCTCAGTTGCGCTAGCTAAATTCTTTGTCATTGCTTCATTATCTTCAGAATACTCATCAACGTTTAGACCAGGTTTCCTGTTGCAACTATTTTCAACTTCTATACCATCACGATTGCTGGCAGGTATTTGATCAACCTGAATTTTCTTTACAAAGGCATTCGACTCCCCACTACATTCATTCAACCCAGATTGACCCATACCATTTATTTCAATTTCCAGGTGCAGTCTTATCTCATGTGATTCACTCTGATCTTCAGCCCAGGGTTCCAAACCTTTGCCACCTTCAGGGGGGCAGTACCAATTTGGTTCATCATCGTCCTCAGCATAAATTTCTGGAAAGAAACAATTACCAGCTTCATCAATCCAAGCAATAGGTTGCTGTAGACCAGTTTTCAAGTCCAATCGGAACATATGCAAAAAATCTAGCACATAATGTTCACCATGTGATTCGATGTTCACAGTTTCCTTCTTGACCTGTAGGTCTTTCCTAACCAAGTCAACAAGATCCTGAGGAAAATCAGTCCATTCACCACTCTGATAAAACATTAGACGCTGTGGCACACCACTCCTTGAAAAATTTGAATAAGATACAAGTAAGGATCGTTGAGATCCTCGGCTCATAAGCTTACTTTTGCATCCATATAATTTCCTTCGCTTGGCAAGCTTATTCAAGCTCGGCCTCTGTGACACTCTGTGTGTAGCTCCAGGAAAATATGTTGCATACCGAGTTGCCCGCTTTCTCTTTAAGCCGAGCATAACTCTTCGACCACTATCCAATACCTTTGCGATCTTTGCTTCCATTTCTGTCTACTAGACCAATATCTATCAGCAAGTTTGAATCCAAAAGTTTGAATGCAAAATTAAGATAGAATTCTAGCCCCGATCATTCTCAGAAGATGATCCATTGAAGATATTTTTCAAATACTTCCTGGGTGGAAGAAAATATTAATCAGGGGAGAAAAATCAGACAGAAAGATAAGCAAACTTAAATGACTGCAAACCAAAACATGCATCATTATGCAACCAATAAATTCAGCACTATACAACTTCCATATAACTAGAGAATGGCGATAATTTTCAGCTAATTAAGTAGACAATCATTCTTGTAATGACGTAGTTTTACCAAATCAGGATGCAGGAGACTGAAAATGAATCAGATCACAATAACTATAATTCAGTGGTGATGGGTCTTTTCTTGAGAGAGATACAACCAAGGAGCATCAATCATTCATTTTTTCTTTTTTTTAATTTAAGATGGTGCCACAGTATACCCCTCAAAAATTTTACCAAAAGAAAATTACAATTTGATAACATAATGACATAGCAACTCAAAGATATGACTAGCATAAAGGCATTAAAATTGAAGATTATAGCACTTGGTGAAATTCCATAGTTAGAAGCTGCCTCTAAATCAAATGTTATAATAACCAGAGAGAGAGATAAGGGTTAAAAACTATAAAACGCCAGTCAGAAGAATTCTTAAACGGATTCTTAAGATCAAGTAATACCTCTTAGAAGAGCATGCAACATTGCCTCAAAGAATTACCTCTGTCCTAGGGTCTGTGGTGTCAATACGGGGATCTTCTATAGGGAAATGATCCCACACCTCAGATATGTTTGTTTCTCTCTTCTTTCTACCAGTAGGGGGTTAGATGAGCTGTAACCAATGTTGTTTCATCTGGGAAAGAATCAAGATCAACAAAAGTGGTTGTCGTGATTGATCTTTGATCAGAGAAAGGGTCTCTCCGATACAAAATTACTGTGACCAAGTTCAAAGGTGAAGGCCTTTTATTTGTATTTCTCCCCATTGGTGCAGCTTGTGTAAATCTGAGGAGAGTGTTAGTCATGTTTTTCTCCATTGTTCTTACTCAATACAGTTGTGGTGGAAATTGTTTCAGGAAGTTAGAGCTAGTTGGGTCATTCCAAAGGGCTGTTTCAAGCTTCTAAGCACCAAGTTTGACGCTTTAGAAAGGGGAGGAAAGCTAAAGCTTTGTGGGGCTGTTTGGTGTTGGCAGTTTTTTGGAACATTTGGTTGGAGCGTAATAGAAGAGTTTTTGAAGATTATAATGGAGTGGGGGTAGCAGAACTATGGGGTAGAGTAAGATACTGGGCAGCCATCTGGGCATCAGTTTTGAATGAGTTCAGGGATTATTCTCTTTCTCATATAGTGTGGGATATGTTAGCAGCTGTAAAATGCGGTTATATTACTTGTAAATCGATCTACTTGAGAGGTCTTAGCTAGTTTTGCTAGATGGTGGATTTCTTATCCACTAATTTGTAATTCATGGTATTTTTTAATAAAGTGTTATCATTTCTTCTAAAAAAAAAAAAAAAAATACTGAAAGAAATCTGAAATCTAATTTTGTAAAATGTCCAGAATTATCAACAGTCCATATACATAGATACAATTTCAAACAGATCAAAGCCGATTCAACATAGATTCAAATGCAAACAGTTTACTTAAAAATAGCATAGAAACCAAACAGATATTCAGTTCATTTACAATCAAAACTGAAAGTTCAACCACATAAGCAGAATAAAATAACTATTCAAAAACATTTAATCATCTAAACAGTAACAGTATCAATCAACCAAAATAAAGCAACGGTTACCTCAATCCTCAGAGCATCAACCCAGTAAACCACGGTGCAATCAAGGCTGACCAAAAAATAATACAATTGATTAGATACTAACACCAAAACAAAATATAATTGAAATTATAAAAGAAAAAAAAATTATCTGTAGATTAAATAATTAATTAAAATTGAAAATATGGTTTTCCCCATTAACACTCACAGATCGGCTTCCTGATGGCTTCAATTGCATCCACGGCTTCGGTTGAAAATTGTGAGACAGAAATTGGGAGGGAAAATGAGAAAAAAAACCGATCGGGATCAAATTTTGGAAATTTGGCATTTAAAACGGGAAGAAGGCTTCTGAGACGGCAAGAGAAACCGTAACCTAATTAGAGACTTGAAAACCTGAAAGCCGAAGGGAGAAAGATGAAAAGGACCGATGGACTCTGAGTAATTCTGAAGCAGTTGGTGAAAGGAAACGGCGCCGTTGTGGAGAGGCAGTCGGAGTCGTGGTGATTACTGCGGCGGTGCTAGGGTTTCGGATTGGCCAAGGGTTTGACAGAGCAGCCGCTGCTTTGACAAGTAATTGCGGATGCGAGGGTTGCGTGGTGAGGTTGAAGACCTAGAAGGTTGTGATCCTGTGTTGTCTTGCTTATAATACTAGTCAACCAACACGGTCACACGTGGCGATAAAGATAAAGTAATACTTGTCTCGCACGCGCTCTAATAAAGTTGGTATCTTTTGCACACGGCGTTTGATTTAAGCAAAGAAATTGCATTCTGGTTGGGCGGGCATCTTTCTGTCACGCACCGACCTTAAGATACCAGATCAACATGTAATGTCAGGTCATAGTTGTACAACAATATCAAAAATGAAAAAGTAACGAAAAAGATTCGAAAACTTTAACTTTTAATTAAAGAGAAAATTTTATTCAAACTCATTTATCTTCTTTTTACATTTAATTTATAGTTTTTAATTTTAAAAGTCCGAATCTGCCTAATATTTTCTTTCTACATCCATAATAAAAAAGAACAAAAAAAATAAAATATAAAATTCTAACACTAGAAAACCTGGACCATGCCATCACTCCAAACCCTAACCACCCCCAATTTCTACCCCTCCCCAACCCCCAACCACCTTCTTATAACCCACAATGAAGCCCCCAAAGATCTCAGCCATCAATGTCTCTTTCCCGACCTTTTGCCGGCTACACAATAACTCTTTCTTCCATGTAGTCCTTCTAACATGTCCGAATTATGCCAAAATTATCGACGTGTCGAATCTAATTGTGTTGGCCCATATGTTAATAATACCATTAATTTTTCCAATATATATTGACATGTTTTTGGGTTTTTTAATCGTGGGTTGTTGGGAATAATGTTCTAATTTCCAAATTGTTGTGGGTGGTAAGGGAGGTGGCGGTGGGGAGTTGGGGAGGTTAGAAACTGGGTGGTTGAGGTTTGAAGAGATAGGGTGGTTGGAGTTGCTTATTGCTAAATTATTATTATTTTCTTTTTGTGCTTCTTGGGTGTAGAAAGAAAATTATTGGGAACATTTAGAATTTCAAAATAAAAAATAATAAGTTAGGTGTGGAAAGAGAATAAATGGATCTAAATAAAATTTCCCTAATTAAAATGACAAAATAAATATGTAAGTAAATAGTAACAGAGTGACTTTTTTGACTAAAAATGTTGTTAACGTTAGAAGTGAATAGTACCAGAAGTGTTTCATTAAAACTCAAAAAAAAAGATTTTTTTAACTTTAACAAAATTAAAATAAATTTGGTGTTAGATTACATATTAATTATAATCCCTTGATGTGTCCTTAATTCAAAATAATTAATGTGCATTTTATTTAATGTCTCCCATTAAATATTGAAATTTATTAATATACAAATTTTTATGGGAATTGTTATTAGCACTCAAAAAATCTCATTATAGAATGTTTGGAGTGTCAAATGAGATTTTTGGAGTGCTAATAACAATTCTCATTTTAATTTATTTTTTGACCAAATAAGAGTTTTTTAATTTATCAATTTTATTTCACATTCTTCAAACCTGAAAGACTCTATTATTGGATCTAAATGTTAGTACCAAAATGTGTATACCAAAATGTATTATATTGAAATATTAGTACCAAAATGTGTATACCAAAATGTATTATATTGAACTAATGTATTTACATGTTAGTATCGAAATGTATGTACTGAAATATATGCACTGGAATGTATTATATTAAATTAATGTACCTAAATGTATGTACCGAAATGTATGCACCAAAATATTAGTACCGAAATGTATTATATTGAATTAATGTACCTAAATGTTTGTATCGAAATTTATGTACAGAAATGTGCTTACCTAAATGTATATACCAAAATATATTATAATGAATTTAATATACTTAAATGAAGAAGACAAAGTACATTGAAATATATTGTATAACAAAAATTAATTAATCTAAATGTTTACAACAAAATATATTACGATAAATGAAATGAAAATGATAATGAAATAAAATTAATACATTAAAAATTAGGAAGAAAAGAAAAATAATTAAACAATCAAAATATAATTAATAAAATGAGGTTATTAATGTATCAGGGGACTAAAATTAGATTTTGATCTTACTCATGGTTTTAATCTAAAAGTCATCTTTGCCAATAATTAAAATAATGTTTTCTATATAAAAAATCAACTAGATTCAATATTTCAATATAGTATATACACAAAGTACTTAATAATCAACGTCTGGAGGCTCGAAAAGGGAAGTACCGAAATGAAAATGAGTAGGATTTTCTTCCCTCCTATTACCATCCCTTCCTCTCACGCTCTTCTTTTTGTCATATTCTCTATATAAAAAAATTCAAAACAAGATGTAGACTTGGTGGAATCGCAACCATTTAAATAGGAAGGGATGTAAGGGAAGAAAGATTAAGAAGGGAAAGAATCCTATTGCAAATGAAAATTGCAAGAACATAACAACATAACCAAACCACTCTAAATGCTCAATCCCAACACAGCACACTTAAGGTCCCTCAAATCTAATGGTACCTGTCAACCTGCAAAATCAGCATTGCACCGTGAGAATGATGTACATGACAGATTAAACCCAATAAGTTGTGTAGCTTGTGTGAGTAGTAAGTAAACTATGATTCACTAAGCAGGCCATGTATAAAGCCATAAGTACGGATTATCGTCATTCAATCTCTATGACAAGTATTCTTACAATGCTATACATCCTAAATCGTCTTTCTCTATGGTCACACTTGCCATCCCATGTTCTCCTAGATCATTAATCCTCTACATAAAACAAGTTTTAGAGCTAGGATGACACAGTTGCCCCAACCCTACACTTCATAGGATTTCCAAACTTCTTATAAAACTACTATTAGAGCTAGGATGACACAGTTGCCCCAACCCTACACTTCATAGGATTTCCAAACTTCTCATAGAACTACCATGCAGGAAAATAGAGTCCAAAAACCTCTCAATGAACTTGACAAGCATGAATCATTAGTTTTCATAACTACTCAATGAACCTATAAGAAGTAGGATTCTAGATCAACTCAATGAGATACATAGAATATACGGTTTCAGACCAGCTCAACGGAACAATATAAGGAGTATGATTCCTGACCAACTTAACAGAATCCCTAAAATCGAGGATTTTAAACCAACTCAACGGAATCATATAAAGAGTAGGATTTCATTCCAACTCAATTGAATCCATAGTAGTTCCGGACCAACAAAACGAAACCATTTAGGAAATAGTATTGTAGACCAACTCCATGGAATCCCTAGAATGCGTATGGCCCCTCAATGCAGATTAACCAAGTAGAACCATATGCATACATAATATAGTATGGTCCCCCAATGCGGATTAATCAAGCAAGACCATACCATACAACAATAACTAGGTAATTATCATCTATTGCAGATTTCCCATGACACACCCTGACCTCAATGGTCAACAAATTAAGGTAAAGCTGTGTAGTTCATCACCAAAATGATAACAAAACCATAGGTAATAATTAAAAGATGTGATAAAGTTTGGACTAAAAATCATAATTTATTGAGTAAACTAAAATTATCTTGCAAGTCAACTATAACAACCTCCCATCTTGGGGACACAATAGGTTCATCTCGATTGTTGCAATCAAATCCGCAAATCATTGTGTGTGGAAGAGATGCACAAACTTGTTTAACATGCAAGACAATAAATAACTGTAAGTAGCCAATGACCAAGGGTGTCAGCCAAAAACTCTCTAATGATCAAGTTAGTATGTAAATATATGAGATTCAAGCGGAGGTAAGAGAATACATGTGCGGTAATTCCGTTACCAGAGATTAATTCTAAAAGGGTATATTCATACCAGTCAAGATAGAGTCGTTTTAGGATTTGGAATCCGTATTAAATGGGGAGAATCCTAAAGAATATATAGGAGTATATAGTGCATCCTCTTAGGAGTATGTTTACTTCCGATGCCCACCAATTTTTTTAGATTGTAAGGATTATAAGAATATAGGAAACTTGGCTGATACCTTACTGGATCAAGTTTTAGTGTCTTTCAGAAAAAGTATGATCAATCTCAACGAAGTTGTCAACTTCACCCACTGCTCTAGAATAAAATGATAGTGGTAGCGCAGCTCTGTCTGTGTAGCTTCGTTGCAGAAGTTGTAGAGTGCATGACCAGATTTTTGAGGTATTCATATTCTTATTTGCCTTACTTTGACCTTGGAAAATCATGGTCCCACACTAATTAATCACACCATGTTCAGAGCATAACAGTAGTACATTATTCACAAGCAGTCTGTGATGTGCATACGTAACCGATAGTTTGGCTATGTTTTATTATAACTAGATAAGGACAAGACAAAAGTAAAAACCTTACTTCGTAGAAATACTGCACTATACAAGCCCACTCGTTGTTGTTCACTACCGCTTTGGTCTCACTATGTCATAAATTCAGATTGCGTCTCCATAACAGGCGTCTTGCCTTTGTCGAGGCTACTCAAGTTTGCACCTCTTCTGTCAATTATTCTGTTCAGAGTTAATGGAAACCACCATTGCCGTTAAGTGTGTCGTCGGCCGTCGGAAACTAAACTCAAAAATTGGCAAATTGGGGTTGAATCCACCTCAGATTAATTGGAGTTTGGCCAAGCTTCCTCGTAGGAAACTAAAATCAAATTGAATAATCAAGAGTAAATTGTAACATTGGTCCCTCAACTTTAATCAAATTGGAGCAATGGTCCCTCAACTAAAAATCCATTACCATTGATCCCTCAACTCATCAAAATGTGTAGTTATGGTCCTTTTCGTCAACTTCATCAGAATTTTGTCAAAATGAGTTATGTTAGAAGGACTATTGCTAAAATTAGGATCTCTCAACTCATCAAAACGTGTAACTATGGTCATTTTCGTCAACTTTGTCAGAATTTTGTCAAAATGAGTTATGTTGGAATGACCATTGCTACAATTTGGTTAAAGTTGAGGAACTATTGCTTCAATTGGGTTAAAGTTGAGGGAATATTTCTCTAGTTGGATTAAAGTTTAGGGACCAATGGTAATGGGTTTTTAGTTGATGAACAATAGCTGAACATTTTGATGAGT